TTTTTCCACATTACAGAAGGTTGCTTTGTTTTCTTTCTACCTGGCTCTAATTTAATCTATATTTCCACTGGGCACTCACACGTGTTTGACTTTAGGCTTTTGAATTGCAAGGAAGTCCCTTACACATGAGAACATTTTGGTTAGACTTCACAGAACCCAGTGGGACCACCTCTACCTTTACCTCATGTTGTGCTGAGAGTGGTTCTACCATATTACATGGGATGAGTTCTGCCCTTAAATGATCTGCTGTAATCCTCTTCATCTTTGATGCTGGAACATCCTGTCTTTTCTTTCATGTGACAAGTTGGCCACATGTGCTAAATTACTGTTCCATCCCTTGTCATTTGACTAACCTGATTTGCCCATGTTTTTCATCCTCTGTTATGATGTGTGATTTAGGGATAAATGAGGACTTTTTTTGTAACAGTTTCACTTCTTCAGCTAGCATTACTTTAGCAAGACTTGAGGAAGAACTGAAATTCTTAAAGCTAGCAGGCATTTTGCTTCGTAAAACCAGCTTAATTTTGACTGATTCATTCCATGGGTAGCCTTAGAAAACACATACATCTTTCATAAGTTTGTTTTCTGCTATTTTTAATGCCCTAAATCTGTCACATACATTGTTGACTCAAAACATGTAGCAAGTACCAAGTAATCAAAGACAGGAAACACTTAAAATTCTCATGTAGGCTGCAATAAGGATAGCTAAAGAGTATATTTGAAATGTTAGAATTTGGGGATGATGGGAACAGTGGATGTAGTAGGAAAGTTGCTTAGAGGACATGGTGAAGCATTAGTTGTTGAATACACAAGAGACTAGAGAGGCTTTATTTAGTTTAAAATGTTAAATCGAATGCAATAATGTGTTCCAAACAGCTTTGTGTAAAATATACCAAGCTGATGTATTGAAGTTGCATGAATTAGGAGAGAACATTGACATGAAGTTGAAAACATCAGCACTGTCCCCAATTAAGGGAATAACTGTTACAGCAAATGTGAGCAATATTTTACTGTTTAAAATGAGCTTAAATATAAGATCAGTCCTTTCATTGTGACCATCCACAGTAGATATTTATCAAAAGTAAGCCAACAAAAGTAACCTCATGGAAATGAAACATTACCCTCTATAACAGATGATAATTCCCAGTAGTACTGCACTGATTACTCAAGGGAAGATTGTAATAGATTTTTCCTTTCTTTTTGGCTTCTAGCTCATAGTATTGCCTAAGCATAAGTTAATAATTTCTTATACTTCGATCCTACAAGAAAGGATCTGGGTTTATTCATCCATTATTTTAATCATTTACAGCTACATTTTAAGAACCTCATGAATAGGTCACCATTATATAAAACACTAAAAGAACAAATTCACTGAGCAACAAATATCCTTTAATAAATCCTCCCTCTTAGATATTCCAGCATGATAATGATGTTCCTTTTATGTTTCTTTTAAGCTAATCTTCACCCTTGGTTGTAAATTCTTGTTAAGTGACCACTTTTGTGAAAGCCTTAGCAATTAGTGGAGCTCCCCAGCCATTGTTTTCATGTTGAAAACAAGAATGTAAAGAGGATTCATAGTGAAGATGTCCAAAATTTAAGTGTTTAAAAGACATGAGCATCCAATAACAACTTCTGCCCACATGAAACAAATACGGTCTATACATTGCTCAATTTGTGTTACTAAAATGTCATTAGTGCAATTTTAATATCTTTATGAGGTACATTGTTTCAGTTAATGCCAACAAGCCAAGCCTTGCTTTATCCCCAGTGTTCAGCATTGAGAAATAACATTTCACGTGGTTGTTTACATGGTCCACATTATAGGACAGATAGTGTACAAGTGCTGGTAGGAATTTGAGTGCTGGATGTGGTAGCTTTGAAGTCTGGTTGCAAAATATATCGTAGATAATAGATAATCTAGGTGCCCATGGTTCTTGGACTGTTGTACATGACTTTCCTAGATTGTCAGGTAGACTTGGCATTTAGTGAAAGAGGTCTTGCTTGAAGTTTTTTAGCTAATAAATGGCTAACCGCTTTCAGAGTCAGCAGAGGAGTCCCTGATTCTCTTAAATATCCAATTATTTGATTTAAGAGCCACATTTCTTAATAATTTGTCTATTATTGGGATAGCACAACTGACTAGATTGAAGTTCTGATACTGTATTTAGATGTCACTAGGCATAATAAAAATATTAAAATACAATTAATGGCGGAGGTAACTGTTGTCCTGATTTTAAATAACTTCTTAGCACTAGCATTGACCTTCTCAGTAGATGAATTATTAGCATTAAAAGCTGAAAGTCACTACTGGCATCTTTGATAAGTAGAGTACAGACTGTAGGAAGTTGTCATGAACTTCACATAGATTAGAATTTATTCACATGATCCTTGAAGAATGAACACTGACAGAAGGCTGACATCTGAGAATGCAGTGTCTATAGATTTGTTATTCATTCTTTCCATTTTGTCAATTTGATGATAAAACACTTCTTGTCCCTGTGAGACTCCTTTGCCTAAAGTGGCAGAAAAACATTTTAGAAGCAGTGTCCCCCTTATATGAGTTGTATTCTGAAGCAATTTCTATGTGCTTAAGTGTAAAACTTTGAAGTGACCTGAAATATGAAGACATAAAATTACCAAAGTATGTGCTGTGGGCATACAGTGTCATAGAGTTACAGAGTGGTTTGTGTTGGAAGGGAACCTAACCCATTTCCAACTCCCCTTCCATGGGCAGGGAGGGACACCTTCCACTAGACCAGGCTGCTCAAAGCCCCATCCAACCTGTCATTAAATTCTACCAGTTATGGAGCATCCACAGCTTCTCTGAACAACCAGTTCCAGTGTCTCACCAACCTCACTGTAAGGCATTTCTTTCTAATATATCATCTAAACCCACTGTCTTTGAGTGTGAAGCCATTCCCCCTTGTCCTATCCCTACATGCCCTTGTAATGTCCCTCTTGATCTTTCTTGTAAGCCCAATTTAGGGGAAGGTTACTGGAAGGTTGCTGTAAAGTGTCCAACTGTTTCCCTCAGCCTTCCTTTTTTTCTGAAGGGCAGTGCCAAATAAAGTCTAATCTTCACAGTGATATTCAGATAAATTCATTTACTTACATTTTGAGCTGAATTAGTTAAACTGCATTGAACTGTGTGTGGGTTCTCATTCAGAATTGAAATAGTCTTTAAGTGTAGCCTATTTAACTTTTAAAATAAATTAAAGCAAATGGAATTAATGCTTCTTCAATTCAGTAAAGTTTGTCTACATGTTGTTTCAGTGTAATTTTACTAATCTATACTGAATTCACAGGTTAAATTCAGAATTATTTTGCCTTAAAGGGAAGAGAATATAAGCAGGAATAGACTGGGCAGATTTTACTAGCTAGTGGTGATCACTGAACATGCCTAATTTAGATGTTCAAAGAAACTTTAGCTTCCTCAAGGAAACATAGAAAAATTATACGCTTTTTTTTTTCCTTATTCATCTTTTTTTTATTGTCCTTTTTCTGAGGCCTCTCTAACAATCCAAACATCTCTCTGGAAAAAAAAATTCTACATCAGATATAGCATGCCCTGGTATAACTTCACTTAGCAGGTACACTTATTATAGTAGTAGTTTATTAAATCTATGCCTTAAGCAAGACAAGACTGGTAAGGGAAGGGAACATTCTGTATCAGGTGTACTGGTGCATGTGGGGGAAATAAAGGTAAAGAGAAAGTGAGAAAATTAATTGTAAATTGCCAATACTAACATTGACTGGAAAGATTTCTATGCCACTTAGGAGTGCTGTATAGTTTGTGTACCTCAGTCACTTGGGCATTTTTGCAAAAAAACCTCAAAATGGCTGTGGTACTTGTTTGAGCAAAGCCAAATTGCTACTGCTCTGTAATTTGTCCATCGCTAATTTATTTTAATATTCAACATCCGCTTACGAGGAAAGATGTGCCTGAAGAGTTCTTTGTATCCTTCAATGTAATTGACTGTGAGTATTTCATAATTTACAGTAATACAAGATACTGTGGATGTCTCTCAGGATATTTTCTCACCAGTCAGTCAAGATTTTTTAAGTCTGAGCTGCATGGAATGATACCAATAATCTAACTATGTGACTGCAGTATACTGAGTAATCCTGTGTGATGAATAGCTGCTGCAGTCCTTAGAGATGGGTGGCAAAAGTGTTTCATACAGGGTAATAGAGTGTCTGGAAAGGAGTAGTAATGATACAGCTGAGATATAGCAGGTGTGAAGGATACATTTGCTAAAACACAGGCTTAGTCAGAGCTCTGCAGATGCAGTTCTATTTCATCATTAAAATTCTGTGATGTGGTGAAGGATTCACTATGACTCTTGGGCCTTTTCTGGTACAGCAAAAGAGAAGAGAATTTGATTGCAAGCTACCTGTATGATTTCCAAACCCAGATTATCCTTTAAGAGATATGTGTATTTTCCACCCAACATTGTGTTCCTTAGGGCAGACAAAATATGGAGTCTGTGCCAAGGAAATCTGTGTCTACTGTCAGAATACCACAGGTATCACTACCCTCATGCAAACCCTTCCTATAGACAGGTGGGGTGATGTTGTAAACATACAGCTTGTCCTTGTTTATATATAGGGAAAGCAAGAGTGATAAAAATCTCAATTTATCCCAGTGTATGAAAGTTTGTTTTTCTGAGACTATAAAATGGCTGATCTCTCTGGCCTTGTTGGTCACAATGATTTTGGTCTAAAGGCTGTGTCCTATTGATTTTAGTAAGATAAAGCATATGAGCAGAGCCTATTCATGTAAATCAAGACTGCAGAATCAGAACTTCAGAGGCAAGCTCTTTATGCAAGTGGGACACCTTATCACATTTACATGCAAAGGAATTTTGCCAGGATTTCATGTGGTGCCCTCAATGTGACTCCAAATGCCAGATGAGTAATATGTTGGAAACCACATCTTTGCTATGTTTTGTGGATTTGGGGTTATTAACAATGTTCTCATTCCACATTATTTATTTCAGATCACCAGACTAGCTCTGATGTTAACCTGTCAGATGTCAGGGGACCATCAGAAAAAACAGACCTCAGTTTTAAAACACAGGTACTTTGTGAAAGATCAGAAGATAATGAGCAGACAATGTTGATGCTCCAGGAAGAATATCATGTGAGGTAAGGTTTTTGAATGCTAATAACAGTCAATGTTCTTCTCCTCTCCCTGCTGCAATCTCATTCACACTATACCTGCTAGGTTTTTTTTCAAAATTGTAAAGGGGCCAAAATGAGGGTGCATCAAGACTACAGGTGGGATTTATTTTGCCTTTGTGTCACATCCACATTACAGTCAAAGATTTACAAATAAAGTAGTTTGGAGACAGCGGCTAAGGGATTTTAGCTCTATTAGAGTTGTTTGGCAGCTTGAGTAGAAGTCTTGCTGTCGTGTGGGCCTTATAGATTAGAGCTAGCCTGTAGTCAGGAACTTATTTAGAGATATGGAGTATCTCTTGGCAACAATCCAAGATGAATGTATGGATACCTGCATATGTGCCCATACCATGAATTACATGAGTGATTGTGTGAGCATGTACCTAGTTTGATTTTAAATTACACCAGAAATAGTTTTAGGTCTGTGTCTGCACGCATACCCAAAGGACACAAACATCCATATTTGATTTCAGTCAGAGTTGCTGTAAGAAAATATGTGACAGTGTAAACAGAGGAAGTACAATATCCAACACCACATTCCTTTATATAAGTGAGTGGCCACAGTCAGATCTGGAGGTTGCAGTGTACATGAATGTCACACATTTTGCTTGCTGTATTTTAAAGATGACTGGTGCATATTATTTCATTGTTAAGATCAGTACCTTTCTAAGGAAGGTTCAGGAGGCTGAAGAGGGGTATTGTCTCACATCACCTCCTGCTTCTGTCTTGCTTCACTGTCAGCTCACTGTAAGAGTGGCATTGAGTCTAAAGTATTTTAGGCTCTTATTAGGATGGATGTCATTCTTCTAGACTATAGAGTGGCCTTAGAAAATAGAACAATTCTCCTACATATGCATTCAAAATACTGTTTTAAAATATTGCTAAGTAAGCTGAGTTTAAAACCTTACATTCATTGTGCCATTTATGTCAGTAAAATATTAAAGGATATACTGAGATAGCATCATGTTTTGGTAGTATGACTGATTTTTTTGCGTGAAGCTGTTGGTAAGGGAAAGTTCTTTCAGTAAACTTTTGATATAATTTCACACTTTCAGTATAATTTTCTGAAGGACTAATGGGAACACATTTTCATTTTATAGAACCCTGGTGAAATATTCATTCTGTTGAAAGATAAAATAGATGATGAAACTAGAAATTGAATTCATAGCAGACAATCAATGAATTAGGACTCAGTCAGTCTCTTGGAATGAGAGGATCAAGTATGTGAAAGCCTTAGGTAAGAAGGATATTCATTACTTCTAAGTAAACAGAAAATTTTTTACTCCCTTCACTTTTTCTGATAAGTAGTTTCACTTTCCCCTATTTTGTAGGTGTTTTCTGTACATGGGTTTGGCACACAGAACCTTTATTAATAATGCAGAGAAGCAAGGCCTTGTGATTTATGAGAAACTAGGTTACATTATATTGGGTTTTTGTGGTTAAATGGCAGGTGGCAGTCTTAAAATGTCATTGATTAGTCACAGATTAACATCCTTCAAAATTACTGCCATACAATGCAAAGCTAATATTCTTTGCTTATTACTCTAATACTAAAATGTTTCACTGCATATTTAATGCAGTACATTTGGTTATACTCCTCTCCATAATTCTTATTGATGCAGGAAATAATTTTTCCTTTGTTCATGTCCATGTCATTCCTCTGTATCACTCAGCTTTGCTGGTTTCTAGCTATGTTTTTTTCCACTGTTCCATCCATAACTAGTTCTAGCAGTTTCAACTGCTTCTCAACAGTTTCTCTTAAAATACTGGGGGCTATTTAAAGGCCACACCTATGCCCACCCTCTTGATGTGAGTTAAGAATTTAAAAATTTTTCACCTATGTATCCAGTGTGTAGTTTGCTGTTGCACTGCATGCTGTGGATTCTCAAAGGAACTGATCTTTTATTCTAAAATGATTGCAATAAAACGTTAGATAGGAGGAAATACATACATGCAGCCACAATTTTCCACAGTGGTTTCTTGGAGCTACATCTGGGTAATTCTGTGACCTGATGACTTCTGGGACTCAGCACTGGGGGGGCTGCACCCTAAGTAGTGTGTCCAGTTCTGGACCCCTCAGTTCAAGAAGGGCATTGAGATGCTGTAGTGTGTCCAGAGAAGGGCAACAGAGCTGATGAAGAGCCTAGAGACTAAGTCCTATGAGGACCAGCTGAGCGAGCTGGGAGTGTTAAGCCTGAAGAAAAGGAGGCTCAGGGGAAATCTTATTACTCTCTACAGCTACCTGAAAGAAGGTTGTACCCAAGTGGGGGTTGGTTTCTTCTCCTAGGCAACTAGCAACAGGACAAGAGTACATAGCCTCAGTCTGCACCAGGGAAAGTTCAGGTTGGACATCAGAAGGAATTTATTCACAAAAGGGGTTGTTAAACATTGGAATGGGCTGCCCAGGGAGGTGGTGGAGTCACCATCCCTAGAGGTGTTCAAGAAATAGAGGGATGTGGCACTTAGTGCTATGGTCTAGTTGAAAAGGTGGTGATCAGTCAAAGGTTGGACTTGATGATCTTAGAGGTCTTTTCCAACCTAAATGATTCTGTGATTTTCATCCTGAACACTGTCCTGAGATGATGACCACATATGGCCTGAGAGTACTTTATCACTGTGATGCTGCAGAGAGTTTATTTTTAGAAATGTGACTATAAAGTACATAGCCAACAGGAAACTTTCATCTGTAATTGGAGTTCAGAGAACAAAAGCTGAAATCCTCATTCACAGGTCTTAAAGATTCTTTCAAAATTATTTTGTGAGAACATTGTTAATCAAAAGAAGTTTTCTGTATTGGATAAAATATGAACACGTGAATGAAATATGAAAAATTTGGCAGAGAACTGTAGCCCAAGTTTAATTTTGTTTCATATCTTGTTTGTCTTTAATGATTCTCTCTGTTTCAAAATCTAGAAAAGTTGTAAATTTGGAATTATCCTTTTTTAGGTCCAGCTGATCTGGTGTTACAAGAAAAATACTGTGTTTTGTTGTTTTGGTTTTTTTTTTTAAAAAAAAGCATTTGTGCAGTTTTTCTTTAAGTGATTTAACATCATGTTCCATTAGTTTACTTTCTCTGGCCCTATTACCCTTCTCCATTTTCAGGATTGCCCCTTTTATCACTCTTTTGTGGACAGAGTTAGTATTTTAAGAAAACTGTGCTAGTATGGTGCAGCAGGATGCCTGGAACAGTGAATACTAATGAGCTGGGAAACTGCTCATAAAGTAGCTTATGCTGCATGCACAAAGCAAGTCATGCTTAAGTAACAGACTACAAATACTTCTCTCCTTTGCTTTTACAAGGTAAACAACTGGAAAAGAAGTAATTATACTGCAGTTTCTGCAGTCTAGATCAAATCCAATTTTGAGAACCTTGACTGCAATTAAGAAGAATGTTTCAAAAGATGAATAGCAATTCCAGTATTTGTAAATAAAGGAACTTTTCCTTAATATGTAGGAATAAGGGAGCTGATTATAGGTCATCAGTCTACCAAAAGCAAGTTGGAAATTTTGAGCATTCTGTTTTCGTCTCCTTTCTAATGTGAAGCAATACAATAGCTTTGCTTTGTCCAGATTTACAGATATGTATTTTCTTTTATCAGCTTTGTAATGTTAGACTGAAAGACCTGAATAAAAAACTGACTATACTGAATAATCCTTGAAATGCAAATCCAGTTCAGCAGCTCTATGTTTTTTCTGTGATATTTTCCTGTTCTTTTGCTCATTTCCCGAGATCTCTGGTCTGGGACTGTAAACTGTTTCCAGCTACTTTTCTCATTTGTATTTTATAAGATTTTCCTGCTGGTCCTGTATATATAAATGTCTACTGTGGGAGAGTCATTAAGACACAGATCGAGTACTGTACTGCACTAGAGGAGATTGAGCCCATTTTAAAGAAAGTGGCTGACCCAATAGCTTTCACTTGTCAGGTGAGATGACTTTTCAATTTTTAATTAAAGCAAAATAGAATATAAATGCCTATATGAAGTAAGAGATAATACCCAATCTTTTGATTACACAGCAATTAGTAATGGTTCAGTAATAGGCTCAGGATTAAGAGGCGTGTCTCTGAGATGTCTAGTTGTATCAAGCCAGGTAAGAGAAAACAAATTTTCTCTTTTCTTGTTTTTGTTTAGAAAATTGGATAAACATCCTTTGTGCTGTATATGCCCAATGAACAACACACTGCATTACAAAGGATGAAAATAAGAACAAATATCAGCGACGTCCCTCTCCATTTAAAGCGATTTTTTCCATATGTTCTAAACCCAATAGAAGCAAGTATTCTTAAACCACATTGTATTTGGAGGGTTATTCTTCATTTGCCAGCAAACAGGATTTTTCTGGCATAGCTTGTATGGGACACAGTAGGTTGCTATTCATATAGAGTCCATTTACAGCTGCCGAATTATCATTCATGTGATTTGCTGGTTGTCATGCAGATTCTTTGCACATAATTAGAAAAAATCAGGTTTTTAGCTGGGTTTCTAATCAGCACAGCAGACTGCAGTGCTCTACAGCCAGTTCTTTGCAAGTGGCACATAAGAAATAACAAGAAAAGAAAGCATATATTAAGAAAGAATGGAATCTCAAGTATCATTTGTTGTATGGTGGGTTGCCCAGGCAGACTTGTCATGATGTCTATATTGTAATTGCAAAGCCAGAGCAAAAATAATAGTCTATGTTTCCAGTGCAGACAGTCTCATTTTCCTGTAACAAATGTGCCTTAACCACCACCTAAGGCATTCCACTCATAACAAAAGGATTAATAAAAAATGATGTATTGCATTATTAGTGTTCTGTTAAGGATGGGGGTAGATTCCTTCCAAGTACAAGTTACTTCTGTTCTAGGAAAACAAGCTGTTGCACAAGAAAAATAGTGCAACTCTAAGAACAAATATGTTGTTAAATTCTTAATGCTATTCATCATTCTTTAGCCTCTATTTTGAAGTATATCAGAGTACTTCTAACAGGTTTCATTTAAACTTTTGTGCATAAGAAGTGTGTCACAATGATTAAAAAAATTATAGTTAACATGGTAAGCTTAATACCTACAACACACATGGTATTTCTGCTGCAGAGTTATTTGTGTTATTCAGGAGTTTGACCTTTCATTTAACCAGCATGGCTAATATTTAGTAAAACCCATGCAATTCAAATCATATTCAAATGCAGAAATAATTCTGTGTAGAGCAGTTGTGCACACTGGGAGATACAGCTGTAGTGTTATGGCTAACAGGTATATTTAACAATTTCCTCACCTTTACTCATCTGGATAATAAGCAAGGGTTTAAATCAGGTGACACTGTTTATCTGCTGTTATTTTAGAGTTTTGGTAACTGAAAAGTTAATGCTGAGAAAATGTTTATAGTTGGATAAGTTCTACAGTACACACAATATCATGGCTGCTCTGTGGTAAAGTATAATAGTGGTAATTCTTGTGTAAGTGTACCTATGTGTTGGAAGACATGCCATTTTTAAAGGTACCTGCTGGGTCTCAGTGAGGTACATTAACTAGCTAGGTAGCTAAAATATTTCTACAAACTTTTTAAATAAGCTCTCGTGTAAACCTGATTTAATGTAGCTATGATCCATCTGCAATTTCCAGAACATAATTAAACTTAATCTTTCAAATATGTGCACAAAAGGAAAAACAAAAGAGACTTGATACTAATTAGAATTCCCATCAAGTAGCAGGAATAGTAGTAACTTCTATTTAACCAGGATAATTAAAACCTTTGAGACTGTCAGCTTCTTTGCAAAAGTATCTTGGGGCAACAGTTGTTTATCTATGCAAGGTAACAATCAAACACAATAGAAAACAAAATTGATATAAAATAGCAGAGCGTACAGCAGTTAGTGATCAAAGGAATATCACTTTGTAGTTCAAAGAGAAGTTCAAGATTTTCACAAGTGCTTGTGATCTGAGAAGTATCTCCTACTAAAATTCTGTGATGAGAGCAAATGGCTACAGTAGTGCATACCAAAGACACAGTGCTTCAGTAAAATGCTTTCATTGTATTGTATATTGTCTTGCCAAGCTTTCCAGCTTCTTTGAGATGCTCCACTTTGTCCCCCAAGAAAGCCAAACAGATAGAGAAAACCCAACAAATAGGCCTAGAGCTATGCATTCCTTTTATTGATGGTCAGTTCAGCTCATGTATCTTAGTGAGAGACTAACAAAGTATGGTACCACTGCACTTATAAATCTGTTTCTAGAGAGAAATTCAATATTCGCACTAGCTAAAGTTTAGATTTAACATAATCTAAGATTTTACAAATCATGGGTTTGGAAAAAATTCTTTGTGACATCTGACAGATTTTCATTTTCTGTGTTCCAAATTTGTCTGAATTTCCAAAGCATTTACCAACATCAGCAAAACATTTTAAGCAACCAAATAGATATTTAAAATGTAATAACATAAATAGAGTAAATAAAATTAAATAAGTCTCCTTGCTTAAGCTTTGAAAGAGAAAACCTGAACATTTAAAGTAAAGTAGGAAGAATTGGAATCCTAATTGAGTCATAATGCTGAATGAACTTGCTGTCAGAATACAGGAGGGTGAAGTTTGGCTAAAGGCCATGAGTTTTGTTCTCTCACTTTCGTATAATTCTGCATTAAAGAAACTCTCTTAGGGAGTTTATGTTCTTACAGTAACTCACTGTACAGATGGATTTTAAGGTTTTTATAATTAATAATTAAACTTTTAATTCATAATTCAACTTTTTCATACTTCGCTTTTTACTTTTCATCAACTTCTCATTTCAGAATTCTGCTGGATTTACATGTCATATTGATTTTTCTCTCAGGCTTTCTACAAAATGGAGTTATTGATTCAATTATTTAGTGTTGGGGTTTCCTGGTACAGATTTATTAGGTTTAAAAAAAAATAAAATTGAAACTAAGGTCAGATCCTTGTTACTGAAATTGACAAGTTCATGTTAGTTTGAGTGACTTAAAATATCTAGAGAGATTGAGGAAGTCTTTATGACAAACTTTGGTTGAATAATACTCCTATGATTCTGAGACACTTGGTATCTTAAAGGATGTTTTTATCATAGTCATCAAGCAGGATTTCACTTACAGACTATGTTGGAAAAGAAGAATGGAAATAAACTGCAGCCTTCTGTATGGAAACTTGTAAAATAGCTTTATGTCTTATGCATTGATGCTGGGTATGCACCTTTACCTGATCCCCAGAGATTCTTCCTTTGAAACTGTATGTAATATATTCTCAGCCACGTCAGCAGCTATTATTTTTAAATGTTTCCTTCTTTTCCTCTAGGTATGAAAGCTTTCTATATTATAGCGCTGGGTAAAATTGTCAGATATGCCTGAGTGATTTTTAAGCCTAGCCCATTCTCTTTGGCAGAAGTAATCTAGATATGGAATGGCATATAAAGAAGTGTCTGATATGTAAGAACTACTGAAGAACTTCCTCTTTATACAAATGCAACCTTGTTAATACTGCTAAAGGCAGTCTGAAATATGTTCATTTACTGGCTGTGTATGCTGTGTTTCAGTGGCACACATTTTCAGGGCTTGATTATCTGTTATTAAAGAATGCAGATCATCTCATTCACAAAGTAGCAAAGTATGTGCTTGGCCTTCTCCTTTTTCAAGGCTGTATTTGGAAGCCCAGGTGTGGTGTTCAGTACTTGGGGCTTCTGTGTTCACAGCTGTTCTGTTGCTCTGAAAAAGGGGTGAGGGAGGTAGTGCCTACACCTGTGGAGGTGGTACTGAGCTGGGCCAAGTTGCTGGTGATGTGCTCTGGTGCATCCAAGTAGTGTAGAGGACCAAGCTTAAAGAGCAGAGCAGAGAGCAGCTGGCTGTGCTTCAGAGAGCATGGGAAGAATTGGCTACAAACTCAGTAGCTTGATCCTGAGTGGCTGCAAGGACACAAGGGGAAAGTAGTGCTTTTTTTGTCTTTTCTGCCATGTTCTAATTATTTGGATAAAATGTGGTCTTTTTCAAACTCCTGACTGGCTCAGTGTTCCCTTGAGTATGCTTAACTTTAAATATGATTCTGTTTCTGTTGACTTTGGTGAAGCTTCAGCTGAACTTTAGGTTTGTAGTGTTGGTGAGATTTCTTGGGAAGATTTCAAGAACCTATAGATACCTACATAGGGCACATCAAAATGTCCAAACACAGTCTGTGAGTGCTCTGAAGCAGGAATAGGCAGTAGAGTAAAAGTCTCTAAACTGAATTCCTTCTTGTGGAGGTCACTTTTATGTTGGTGTTGAGCTGGGTAGTGTAGAGGGGTCCTATTGCTAGATCCATTTCACTGTTGTCTTCACATAAGTACTGGAACTGGCTGTCCTGTATGTGATATAAAAGACACTAACATAGCATTTATTTATTTTTTTAAGAACTAGTCTTGATTTTCTTTTTGTGCCTTTGTAGGGTAGCAAAACAAAGCTACTCATTATGGTTTAATTAACAAGGTATCTTGTTAAATCATTGCTTGAACCTTCAGATTTTAGATGCTAGGAATAAGAGGAAAAGAAAAATTAGGTGAAAATCTTAAAGCAAATTATACTGATAACTCTGTATAATAAATGTATTGCAGTTGACTTGGAAATCATAGAAATGGATAGGCTGCTCATTAGAAGGAAGGCCTGTTAAAGTATGAGACATTTAGCTCTAATTTAATCTGTTCCCTTTGGGATACCAGTCTAACTTCTGTTTCAACACCTTGTATAAGCTGAGCTAGCCTGATGTGGTTAAACTATGCAATTGTGCATGGCTTTAAAATATTTGCTGCAAGTTCTTGAAATTGTGTGCTCTTCTTAGTTCAAGAACTTGCTCCTTCTCAGATTATGAAGCATTATCTTATCTTATGTAAGTCTGGTTGTCTGAGCATGAAGTAAGAGCTATGCATTTTTAAGGCATTCCACCCCTAGATTTCTGGCTGAATAAAAGAAAT